CATCTACAAGTGATCAGACTGACAAGAGAGATACAAAGACATTCAAGAATTTTTTTGCAAGGGGGATACTGTTTATTATACTCAAGTTTGAGAGTGACTAATTCAGTGAAGAAACAATCAGAAGGTTCTAAATATTCTCCCAAAATGTGGCAACTCTTCAGAAAGGACAAAGATGCCAAGACTTTTAGCACAAAATTCTGTATTTCTGTATCTTCAAATGGCTGATATTTAAATGCTAAGAGGTGTGCTAAAACTGGGAGGTACTGGCACTATTATTTGGAAAATTACCATTGCTTGGAAACCACAGAAATCCTGCCCTTTCACATATAAACTGTGATATCCAAAAACAAATACAAAAAAAAGCCTGAAAATCAATGGATGAAAAACAGAGTGGTGCAGTGGTTAGGTGAGGAGGTTGGGTATAATTCTCACAGGTATGGTTAAATGCAGGCAAGAAAAGTTCATTTTTGTTTTACCTGAAAAGTTGTTGTCGTCCTTCGTAGAGACAATAACTTGGTTATTTTCCTTAGTTTTCTGATTCTGTGTGGAAAAGAATTAGACACACAAATCAATGCCTGGATCAAACCATATGCTAATGTCAACAGTCAGCAGGAAGAAGCATCAATAAAAGTGACTCCATGGAGCCTCAGGAGACATCCTTTTTTGACGATTATCTTCTTTGAATACTTTTTGTATTTAAATACATGCTTATGACTACTTATACCTACACTATCCTTTAAGAAGTAATATGGATTAATTAAATATATCACTATGATAGNGGGAAGGCGCTGAACTATAGAGAAGGAAGGGGATCGGATTATTTAGACTGCTGGGTTTTGTGGTCTTTGGGGGGAACAAATGTGCTCAGGTGGGGGGAAAAAGGGATTGTTAGAAGAACTAGGTCACTGAGGAGTCTTTACCAACTTCTACGATCAGCACTCAACGAGAAGAGGGAAAAGAGGTCTCAAATTCTTTGAAACGCTTTATAAAAAAAGAGACCAGAAACCACATTTTTATGGAGGACCATTGGCAGGAAAGAAGCCCTCCCAAACATACTGAATATTTCATTTCTGTGGGGAAATCTGGTGATTCATCTTTCTCGCGCATATGTAACCGATTCAGCCGAAAGGTGCATTTAAATAATAATAATTAGCTTGAAGGAGCCTAAAGGGGATATTTACATCTTTGTAGGAGGGCTGCTCCTCCAGTGATGAATGGTGGACCGGGCTGCCCGGGCTGCTGCTACCCCCGCAGCTCGCTTTCTGGGGGGCCAGGGGCAGG